ACAGTATGGAATCCTGGGATTGTAGTTTGGTGATGAATGGCCACTCTTTGGCAGAGAAGGCTAAAGACCTAGGACTTCTTCACATAAGGCATTATTGCCCCATTTTGCTGCTTTTATTTGTGGCAAGGATGGAGCCTGCCATGTGCCATCATATGATGCATGGCAGGCTACGTCCACATTCTGCCCAAAGTGGAGGGGAAGTGTCAAAGGCTGTTTCTCCACCACTATGGGAAGAGTAGTTTGGGTAGTTCCAATGGCACTACCTGCATTTTCCTGCATATGATGGCAGAAAAGGTGGTGGAGCAACTCACGTTGCCACACGTTGCTGCCTTTTCTGTCATCTGATGGAAAAAGGGTGCCAACGCACCTTGTCCTGTCCCCACTGTGTGATGGAGGAAGAAAGGAGGATATGTGGGACTCCACGAGCAGCCCAGCACATCTTATCTTTCACGGTGCAATGGCATGGCCTGATAGGGCTGTTGTTGCACTCCAGACCAGGAAACGTCCTCTGACTTTAAACAACACATATTTGAGTAGAAATGCAATCCATTTATTAAGGATAATTAAAAAGCAGTAATAGTAAAAAAGCATTTTAAAGGAATAGGTAAACCCAATTAGGTAGGAAGATAAGCTGGAACAAATAGTCCAGGAAATTAGTCCATCAAAGTTCATGAAAAACAAAGGCAGAAACTTCTATAGCAAAATCCAAAAGCTGGAAACATGAATCCAAGGCACTTAACACATTATCATAAAATCCAAGAATTGAAAACATGAATCAAAGGCACTTAACACACAAATCTTTCCAAAGCAAGGCTTCCAAGGAACAGAAACAAGGTCTTGACTTGATTCCAAACTATACTTCATCTGACTACAGATCCTGTACTTGGGACTTTTATCTCCTCATTACATTATGTCCCAAGCAACCAGAAATGGGTTTCGTTTTAGCCTTGAATCCTTTATCATTCTTTCTTTGAGCCTGGCAGAATGTCTGAGATACTGATCTGCTTTTCTATTCTGACTAATAACATCCTGTCTATCTATTTGCTCATTATTTTCTGCAGCTGGGCCAGGTGCCTAGCTGTTCTCAGGCTCTAAACTATGGGAATTCTCAGGTAGCAATTCAGGGAGCACACCGTCATTCCTGTACCCTTCAGGAACATTCTCTTGAGAAAATACACTTTAAACAGGGATCTCCATTCTCCGCATCAGTATCATTGGAAACACCATTACCTTCATGAATCTCATTGTCATAATTCCCCACATCCCCATTACCTTCATGAACCTTATTGTCATCATTCCCTACATCCAAAGTACCCTGATCCTTAAACACAATCATAGGCTGAGCTCCAACGGCTGTGTGAAGAGGTCCCTAGTAAAACTACAACTCCTATGAGTCCATAGCATTGAGCTATGGCAATTAAAGTGGTGTCAAATTGCATTAATACTACAATGCAGAGGCACCCTTAGTTTAGACACCATATGTAGTATTGCTGATTGCAGTGATACCTATTCTCTCATGATTTTTAGTTTATATTTTGTGACTTCAAAAGCTTTCCTTCTTATAACCAAAATATTTACAATGAGAGTGCAGTATATGCAAGAAGACTAGCAAAATGTAGTCATTTAAATGCAGTAATTGAGTATAGTCCTATGAAGTCTCCTCTCTTGAGCCTCAGTGTTAAATGCTAGTATGATATATTATTTACATCTCTGATAGCAAAAGAATGTGTGTTTAATATGGAGACATTCGGGGAGGACGTTTTGGGATTTTCCATAAGCTAAAGATATGAAGAAAGTAGCAGTGTTGCTTCTTTATTGTGTCTTGAAGTACATTTTTTAAATGATGAAGGTATTGCACAAATTGAAGATTGCAGTGCACAATGTCTGGATTACTTTTTAACTATAACATTATGAATGTGTGCATGTGTGCACAGGCCTGCATTCCAGTGTGTATTTCTGAAGCACTATGTCATGTTCTTGCCTCCTACTAGCAATCTATTCATGGCTAATTCAAGAGCTGGAGAGAGTAATGGAAGTCCTAGATTCTGGCATTCCAGCCACATATGTCTGTCTCTTGTAAGAAATTATCATCTGTCTTGTTTACTTACTTCAGAGCTGTTTAAAAAGTGTTAACGTCTCTTACATGCCACAGTGAGTCTTTTCTTCCAAAATGAGGCAGACTGTCAGTCTAATGTTTGACTGCAATTGTATGATGTCAACTCATAAACTTTTATGAGGTTTCAACAGTTCAGCTAGCATGGAGAAAATGTTATACCATAGGAGGGACGGAATAACACGGACCAAATCAAAAGTTGCTTGCAAGATTCTACATAGAAGAAAGACATCTGTTTAATAGGGCTAGGCAAAAATTCGGATATGGGTCTTAAGTCTTTCGATAAATCTGTACTTACAACCCACATTACAAAACCAGAGCAACAACAACAACACTTTGTATACCGCTCTATCTCCCCAAGGGGACTCAGAGCAGTTTCCAACATAACATAATCAATACATACAAAGAAAACAGCATAAACATAAAATTAACAAGACAATATAAGCATTAAAAACCACAATAGCACATATATTTAAAATAATCCTGCCTGTTCAAGGCAATTTAAAAGGCCGGGCTGTGTTAGTGCAATCTTAGAGGGCCTGGGAAATTAGGTAGAGTCTATGGCTGTACATTTCAAGAGCCTAATAGAAGAAAGTGACCTGGGTAATTGGTAGAAAAAGACATGGCCAATTTCAACAGTATCTGGGGCAGAGCTAGAACTAGTCGTTCTCAAAGGTTTGTTTAAACCACCAGGTTTTCAGGCTCTTACAAAAGGAGGGAAGGGATGGGGCCTGTCTTATTTCTCCAGGAAGGGTGTTTCAGAGGTGGGGGGCCACCACCGAGAAGGCCCTCTCTCTCATCCTCAACAACCGTGCTTGTGAGGGTAGTAGGAACAAAAGGAGGGCCTCCCCGGAAGATCTTAAAGTTTGCGCCGGTTCATAGAGGGAGATGCGATCGCGAAGATAGGCAGGGCCCGAACCCAATAAATTAAATCAGGAATTTACAAAGTTTTTGGAAGGAGTTTTAAGTTTTTGTAAGTTGCAGTGAGTCAGCTTCATTTTTAGCACTAACAAACTCTACTGGCGCAGGCAAATTTGGTATGACACATGCTCTCCTGAACCTATCATGGCTGAGGGAAAGGGTAAGGAAGGACATCCTCCTGGCATATCCTTCAAATCCAGGAGCCTTTTTGCTTCTGGAGCCATGGTGATCAAGCTGGGAGAGAGATGAGAAGGAAATTGTGGGTAACAAGCGAGTAGCGAGTAGATTGTTGTTGTTTATTTGTTCAGTTGCTCCTGACTCTTCATGACCTTATGGAACAGCCCACGCCAGAGCTCCTTGTTGGCCGTCACCACCCCCAGCTCCTTCAGAGTCAAGTCAGTCACTTCAAGGATACCATACATCCATCTTCCCCTTGGTCGGCCCCTCTTCCTTTTTCCTTCCATTTTCCCCAGCATCATTGTCTTCTCTAAGCTTTCCTGTCTTCAAAAAATCCTGTCAACATCCTTGTAGATGGCCAATTCGCTCACACCAGAAGTGACTTCCAGTTTCTCAAGTCGCTCCTAACACAGACAAAAAAAACCCCTTTTTGGAACTTCAGTTTTAGAGAAAAAATTTTCCTTAGAGAAACCATAGACTCCATAGAGATGGGGAGCTTATGGAAAGCAGAAAACCTAGCTGAGAGATTGGGAATAAGGCATTTAAAGAAAGAGCAAACCAGCAGAGAGGTTGGGAGTAAGACAGTGAAGGAAAAGGAAAAAAAACTGAGAGATTGAGAGTAAGGTAGTGAAGGAAAGGGAAAAAGACGAGAGATTGGGAGTATGGCAGGGAAAAAGGTAAAAAGCTGAGGGATCAGGAGTAAAGAAAGCAAAGGACAGGGAAAACCAGCTGAGAGATTGGGAGTAAGGTAGGAAGGAAAGAGGAAATCATTTGAGAGACTACGAGTAAGACAGCAAAGGAAAGGGAAAATCAACTGAGAGACTAGGAGTAAGGTAGCCAAGGAAAAGGAAGAAACCAGCTGAGAGATTTGAATAAAGCTTCATGTCTCCCCACTTGCTCTCCACACACATTCCCTACCACTTTCTCAGTGATCACTGCCACTCCTGATCCGCTTTAAAAGAAACAATGACAACAACTGCAAATCTAGAATATGGACGATCCAAAAAGTCACCCACCTTTTTAGCTTCAATTTTTATGGGGAGAAGGTGTGTCTTAGAATTAGTGAAATAAAGTAATCAGCCTTTTTCTTTCCCTTTTTTCTATTTCCTTTGCACATATGTTATATATTTCATGTCACTTCAGTGGCTATCCTGAAAAAAACTAAGCCGACAATATAAAATCTTATAAAAATACTAGCCATCCCCTGCCACGTGTTGCTGTGGCCCACATGGGGGTTCTGTGTATGAGGTTTGGCCCAATTCTATTGTTGGTGGGCTTCAGAATGCTCTGTGATTGTAGGTGAACTATAAATCCCAGCAACTACAATTCCCAAATGTCAAGATTCTATTTTCCCCAAACTCCACCAGTGTTCACATTTGGGCATATTGAGTATTCGTGTAGAGTTTGGTCCAGATCCATCATTGTTTGAGTCCACAGTGATCTCTGGAGGTGAACTACAACTCCAAAACCAAAGGACACTGACCACCAAACCCTTCCAGGATTTTCTGTTGGTCATGGGAGAACTGTGTGCCAAATTTGGTTCAATTCCATCATTGGTGGGGTTCAGAATGCTCTTTGATTGTAGGTGAACTATAAATCCCAGCAACTACAACTCCCAAATGACAAAATCAATTTTTTTGAGTGAAGGACATATATTGGGTTGTTAGGTGTCTTGTGTCCAAATTTGGTGTCAATTCGTCCAGTGGTTTTTGAGTTATGTTAGTCCTACAAACGAACATTACATTTTTATTTATATAGATTAATTGTATTATTGAATTATCTTTTCCAGGCCATGGCCATATACCATATTCCAGCGTGGGTTTGATTTGGTCCTGGGAGAACAGCCTTCTGACAAGATATTCAGGTATGTTTTGGTCTGACTGGAGAGCCCATGTGTTTTTTCCCTTTTCTCTCATCCATGGTTCTTTCTTCCCTTCAGTGTATAATACAAACAGGTTATCTTTTGCATTAGGTGCACCAAGTGTTCACTAGTAAACATTTCCATGAAAAGGAGAATTTGCAGTGACAACTAAAATATTTGATAAATCCCTCATCTGTTCAAATCTTTTGCTATATACCAAACAGATTTTGTTGAATCCAGGCTATGGTTTAGGCAAAGCTGCTTGGAACAATTGGAGCTGTAAACCAAACACATCCCAAAGTCCACATAAATTTCACTGTATTCTCAGTGCATCCACCTCAGACTCACACTGAATCCATTATGTGCTCCTATTTTGGATTCTAGAAACATCTGCACCTGCATTCTCTTTAATTTTACACTTTTCTGCACCAACCAATTTAATTAGCAAGAATGCCACTGCAATTTTTAAAAGTTGAAACCCATGCACAGTGTGAATGAAAGCAAAAATTCTTGTATAAGGACATCTTTACTAGGAGCAGGCAAGCAATAAAGCTGTATTTCTCTCATACTTGAGCTTCAAACCTTAGTCCAGCTTTTTCTAACTTGGATCTACTTTCTGGAATCCCTAGCCTAACATGAGCTGTAAGTTACACATGCTAGCACTTAACTGCCATACACTTCAGACTATGTGTTACTCACTCTTCCTTTGGGGATATGTGGAACTGGGTATTATTTAAATATTATGATGAAATGAGCAAAAAGGGCAGGGCCTCTCAAGTGTCATTCTCAAATGAGTTGAACCTATTTTTCTAGCAGAAGCTGTCTCTTCTTTGAAATCTAGGTTGGTTTGATGGCACATTGAAGGAGCAGTCACTCCCAAAGGAAGCAACACACTAGGCTTGTTTGATTAAAAAATGGTTCAAAACTCATTTCGGATGTAGGGGGTGGTGGTGGCTCAATTGTAAAGTCAATTCCGATTTTCACAGAAAAAAATGTTCAAAACTTTTTGAAACTTCCGAGATTTCTGAATCCTTTCATTAATGGTTTGAAAGTGTTATTTCCAGTTTCATTGGGTGGTATTTACTTTGAAAGTAGTTGTTTTACTCCAGAAGCAGGGAAAAGCAAGTGGAGCAAATTCTTTTCTTCTCTGGTTTAAAACTGGCTTCTCTGGCTTGAGCAAGGCCAGGGACCAGAAGGGGGAAGAGCAAGTGAAGTAAATTCTTTCCTTTTCTAGTTTAAAACTGGCTTCTCTGGCTTGAGTGAGGCCAAGGACCAGAAGCGGGGAAAAGCAAATGAATAAATTATTTCGTTTAAAACTGGCTTCTCTGGCTAGAGCCAATGCCAGGAAATTCCTTCCTTTTTTGGTTTAAAACCCTTATCTGGTTTAAAACTGGCTTCTCTGGCTTGAGCTGAGGTCAGGAAATTCTTTCCTTCTCTGGTTTAAAACTGGCTTCTCTGGCTTGAGCCGAGGCCAGGGACCAGAAGCGGGGAAAAGCTGAATAATTTCCGACTCACTTCATGAGTTGTAACAAAAATGGAGGAAAAAGCTTCGGAAGGGCAAAGGGACTTCCGGTTTTCTTAAAAACTTCAAAATTGCCTTGAAATTGTAATTTTTCTGAATTTATTCCAAATTACGAAGATTCTGGAATCGATTCCTACATGCATCAGCAAGAAGTGTTGGTTCAGTCATTTTCCAATCCCATCAGGTTTTCTCTATAACTTCATCATCACCAGAGTGCATTTCATACAAATTGTTATTTTTGTTATCTTCCTTTACTGTTGGAAAGTAAGGCTGGCTGTATGTCAGAATTCATTTCCTCTGTGAAACTCTGTACTGTTCTTGGTTTCCCATGAATCCCCATTCCTATTCAGCCCATGCTTAGCCATGCCGAACCGACATCAGCATGGCTGATCCATGGGCCCAATGTCCCAATGTCAAGGTGGCTGCCAGCACTCCTGTCTGACCATAGTACAGACCAGAACCAGTGTCATAAATAAAAATAAATCGCAAGAAGGTGTCAGACAACCAAAGGCAACAGTCCAGAATCAGAAGCGCACAGTCTAAATATCTTATAAGGGTGGACCAATGACAAAGTCCACAGTTCAGTTAGTGAAATCAAGCCAGAGAAATAGAGTTAAGTCAAGAATAAATGATAGCCAAGGTCACAATCCAGAGTTCGAAATGCTGAGTAACAAAGTCAGTGTTCAGTCAAGAAACAACAGTGTTGACTGCCAAAACAGACCTTCACAAGGAGAGCCTCTTTATCCTAATATCTCAGGTGTTGCTTTTGCAGTACTTGTTCCTCTGTTAATGTCACAGACCAGTGAAACACTGCACACCTCCCCTGCATTACAAAGGTGGGAGTTTGTTTAACCCATTGCTAGCTGGTTTCAATGTACTTACCTTAGCTTGCTCGAACCGCTGAGGAGTAATTGCAACAGCTGATGGCTCATCATCATTAGTGAGCTATGCTCGGAAGACTGCTGGATGCTACTGATTGCTATCTCCTCCGCTGGCTTCACTATCAACCCCTTGCCCTCACTATTACAGCCGGCCATGACACCAGGCATGTAGCCGGGGGGGGGGGGGCTTTAGGGGCTTCAGCCCCCCCCCCAAATTCTCATGGTGGCCCACGAGAAGGACTTACTGGTACATTATTTAAACTGTTATGTTTATTCATATCATGATCTGATCACCATGCTCAATATATCCCATATGCATGGGGGTATTGGGGTAACGATACAAAAGGTTTGCTAGGGTAGACCATCTTTCACTCAGACTCGCCCCCCTCCCCCCGAATCAAACTCAGCTCCCCCTGCTTAAAATCCTGGCTACGGGCCTGCATGACACCCAGTATTTTTCATTCCAATTCGGAGCCACATTATGAGCCTGTGTAGAACCTCCCTGAGTATGAAAGAATGTAACTATCCGGTTTCCCTGGCCAAGCAAGGATATGATTTCTGGTCTCCCAGTATCCTAGTCTAGCACTCAAACCATCATACCATGTGGAAGATGTATCATGTGATACATATTATAAATGGCTTTATAATTTCTGAGCTTTTATTCACAAAAGGAAGGATTGATGAAACCAAGCAAACACTGAAGGAAAGGCCAGTGAAAGGTCTCAGAGATTTCCTCTTAAGTCATGGATCTTACTCGGTGACTTTGCACAGACATTCTGACATATTTGGCCAAGCATGAGATTATGTTAGAACTCAGTGCATGTATAAAATTATCAATTATAAAATTCACCACAAATGTATTTTTACAATATTTCTTCAGATATTTTAAGGCTGGGTTCTAGGTCCTATGGGCAAATGAAATCTTTAAAGTTTTGAAGGAAACAGACTGGCCGAAGGTTACAGACTATTTAAGATAAAAAAAGAGACGTACTAATATAGAAGGAAGGAGAAGAGGAAGGAAAAAGAGAAGGAGGAAGGAAAAGGGGAAAGAAAAGAACAGAAAAGAAAAAGAAGTTGAAGAAAATAAAACAAGAGAAAGACAAGAAAAACCCACTCTGAAGATACCCAAGGAAGTCAACAATTTTTTCTTTTAAACTATTTCTCTATTTTTCTTTGTTATCTCTATCTTTGAATATATATATATCTCCTTTTTGTTTATTTGTTTGTTTTGTTTGCTTCTTTCTTTTTCATCTCCTCCTTTTTTGTTCTGCTTTCTTTTAACAAAATTCTTAATAAAGATTATTTTTAAAAAAGTTTTGAATTTACTTTTATCAATTGTAGGATTCCCACATAACATTCCAAAACCAAAGAATGAATCATACACATGGACATCATTTTTTTTTTTTTTTGCAGATTGAATTGTGAATTTGAGGCAGCCATTTCACCTCAGTCCTGAATCATTTGATTTCTGTCTTAGCACTCTTTTCTGCCTTGGTTTGGTCTCAGCTCCAGCATTTCTGTTTTGCTCAGCTGAATCTCACACTGCTTTGCTGCTAAGCATGCTATATAATTATGTACCTTTTATAGCTCCAAATCATTTTTACTGTGCCTGATAAATAATAAAACAAATCTCTTGTTGGAGAGCAGAGGAGGCAATATCCCTGCCTCCCAGAGAGCAGTGAAAAAAACAGCAGCTCAGAAGTTAGTAAGGCACAGTAGAGATTGTGCATGGCATTTTACAACTGCAGTACTCAAAAATTGATACACATTAATTGATTCAAAATTCAATCAAATAACATTATGATTGTAGAAAAGAAACATGCTCAAAATGAAAGTTCCGAAAAGGGGAACATTTCTGTACGTATACCTTAAGGAAATGTGTTTGACCTTGTTAGATGTTTCCACTGAACCCTTTATGCTTTTGATTCAGATTCACCTACACTCTTGGGGAAGGGATGTGGCTTCCATTAAGCAAGAGTTTTGTGATCCCACCTGCTGAATTGGCCATCAACCCATCTGCCAAGTGTAAAACGGACATGACTGTGATGGAGGATGCTGTGGAGGTCAGGTAAGTAGAGCCCTGGGGGCACTTGACAATGGCATTTATAGAATCATACAAAATCATGCAATCTTCTGCATGCTGAAACAAACAACCAAATCCCTTCTGCAAGGTGACCATCTGTAATGAATCCCTTACCTTAGCTGGTTAGCTTAAGCCTAAGGGAGTGGGCCTGGCGAAGTCACAGCATCCATTTTAGAAAAGGGAGACAGGTAGAAGCCATTTTAGTTAGGTTTGCCTTGAGGGGGCATGTTCAAGTCTTAGAGGGAAAATAAGGAGGCTAGGATTGGCTAGAAAGAAGGGGGTGGAGCCTAAGTGGTCTAAAGGAAAAAAGTGTCCTTTCAAAACAGAGGCTTGAAATCCCAGTTTAAGCAGTTGGAATCTGGGTGTTAGAGAGAGCAGTTGGTGTTGGTGTTAGTGAGAGCGAGTTTGGGTTTAGAGAAGAAGATTGGGTTAGTCTTTTGTGAAGTATTCAGAGTAGCTATTGAGTATATAGCTAGAATACTATACTGTAGCTAGTATATTGAGCTATACTGTAGCTAGTATATTGAGTATAGTATACTCAATATACTAGCTATATTGAGTATATAGCTAGAATACTGTGTGTATATAGCTAGAATACTGTTGCCCTCCTCTAAGCGATTACTCGCTTGACTGTGGAGGAGCAGTACCCAGTTGGTGGACTGTTTAATTCCTAAGGAAGTCTAGTTCAAGGTATTTTTGGCTTGATTCCTAAGGGGAAGTTTTGAGAGTTACTGTCAGAGATTAATTTCCTGAAGTAATTTTCTGTAGTGGAACTTTGAAGACTTGTAACACAGAAGATTTTAAGATTTTGACTCTAACGCAACCATAAGCTTTTTATGGCAGTATTTTACTGAAACCAGTAAGCATTTGTATCTGAATATTTCAAGCCTGTTCAATAAACATTCTAATTCTTTTATCAACTTATACTAGCCTCATTGTGAGTACCTTTGTGGTCAAAGTATTTCTAAAGACAGCTTCACAGCCGCCTCTAAGAAACTATAGTGGCACAGTGTGTGTTACAGAACAAACTCTCAATATTACCTCAGCCTGATTAATATTGGAATGGTAGCAGTGGAATTCATTTGAAGAATCATTTTAAGTCTCTCAGTTCTAGTGTTTCCCAATTCCTAACTTTTAAATATACAGTTGGTTCAGCAACCATACTCCCTCTTCCTTTTGACGGCTTCATATTTTTGGTGAACAGCACGTTCATATATTTTTAGAAGGTGCCTGTGTGTGTTGTATGCGCCTCTGTGTGGGTGCGTTATACCATCTGATCTCTGTTCAACAACCTCCAAAGTAGGGGACCCCATTGAACTCTGAGACCGCATGTTCCACTGTCAAACAGCTTTTACAGTTAGAAAGCTCTTACTGTTGGTGGAATCTCTTTTTCTGTAATTTGGATTAATTGCTACATGCTTCCGTTTCTGGAGCAGCAGAAAACAAGCTGACTACATCTTCAATATGACATCCTTTAAAATATTTGAATATGGTTATCATGTCAACTCAACCTTCTTTTTCTCCAAGTTAAATATATCCTGCCAGCTTCCTAAGCCATAGGGCATGGTTTCCACATCTTTTACCATTTTAGTTGGCCTCCTCTAAGCGATTACTCGCTTGTCAATATCCTTCTTGAATTATGGTACCCAGAAGTGGCACATAGTATTTCAGGTAAAGCATGACCAAAGCAGAATAGAATAGAATTATAGAATCATATAATTGGGAGAGACCTCAAGGTTCATCAAGTCCAATCCCCTGCCATGTAAGAAAACACAATCAAAGCACTCCTGCTAGATGCCGTCCAGCATTTTTTTAAAAACCTGCAGAAAAGGGGACTCAGTTTCTCTCTGGATAGTATATTTCACAGCTAAACATCTGTTAGGAAGAATCTCTTTTCCTACAATTTGAATCCATTGCTCCATATCCTAGTGCTTATCTTCATAAGCTATAAATTCTGGGGCAGTCTGGAGTGGCAGTGCTTTGGATCATCCCCGTGGGTGGCTACATTGACCACCTCGCTCCTCCTGTAGCAGTAGAACAGAGTCTAAATTGTTGACTTGATTCGGCTCTACTAGACCTGGAGTAATTTTCATCACTGTGACAGTCAGCTCTGGAGTGATCATGGCTTTTGGTGGGTGCCTTTATTGACATCCACAAAGGTGTCTTGCAATGACCACAAGGACTCTGGAGTACTGTGAACAGTTTTCATAATGACAAGGCACAGCAAAGATAAGTTCCATGCCTTATACCCTGTGCTGCAGAACACAGAGAACAGGGAATGGTGCCATTGGCCTGTGTGGACAATGGACCAGTTTGAATTAGGACTGGTTCAACTATCCATACCAACCCCTCAAATTCTAGATTACTCTGGAATGTTCACAAAACCTAGGAACATTCTTCAACTTCTACTAATGCAAGGTAATAGCAATTTTGCTGATTTTACCCCACATTATGAGCCAGAGGTTCCTGAATGTCATGTGGATGCCCAGAGGTGAATTCTGGCCTGACTCAGTGTTTGTGGCTAGTGTGGACACTCAGGTCTCGGGTCTCTAGAGCAGCAGAAATAAAAATCTGGTGCATTGTCAATATGAAACCTTTTCAAATATGTAAACATAACTCTTATGACTCTTAACCTTCTCTTCTCTGATCTCTTAGTGCAGTGGTTCTCAACCTGAGGATCCAGGTTGAGTGCAGTGGTTCTCAACTTATATATAAATTCAACTTAAGAACAAACTTATAGAACAGTGGTTCTCAACCCCAGGTGTTTTGTCCTATAACTCCCAGAAATCCCAACCAGTTTACCAGCTGTTAGGATTTCTGGGAGTTGAGGAAGAAAACATCTGGGGACCCACAGATTGAGAACCACTGCCTTAGTGTCACCTCATAGGGCTTAGCTTCCAGGCCAGTAGTACTATTACCTCCCTCTATCTGGAGGCTGTACTCCTACTGATGGAGGCAAAAAGGTAACTCAGATATGACAAGCCAGCTGATGATCTTTATCTCACACTTTTGAAACTGCCTGTAATGCTGTAGCGCCAGACATTTGAATGCCAGGTCTTCCACAAACTGTCTATAGTTGTGTGGACTGCAGGGGAATCCTCAGCAATGAAACAGTTTATATACGTTGTACCATTAGAAAGCAAAGGTGTCACTATCTCAACCATTTTGGATTTTGGAATTCTGGATAAGGGATATTGTTTTAAATCTGGTAAATTTAGTCCTCCCCTCTCTTTGGTATCAATTAAATTTTTGTAAGCAATCCTGGCTTTTTTCCCTGCCCAAATGAAATTCATGATATCCCTCTTCCACAAATTGAAAATTTTAGTCCCTTTAATAATAGGTATGCTTTGAAAAAAGAAAAGCATTTTGGGAAGTATCATCATCTTAATAATTGCAATCCTGCCCAGCCATGTTAATGGTAGCTTCTGCCAATTGTTCAAATTTCCTTTGATCTCCGACCATGTCTTCACGTAATTATTTTGAAACAAGTCGATGTTCTTGCTTGTGATAGTTATTCCCAAATATTTTATCTTCGGGACTACTTTACAGTTAGCCGCTTCCTCTAATTTCCTAATAATTTTAGTGTCTAAATTTTTTGTAATAAATTTAGATTTATCTTTATTTATTTTAAAACCCGAAACCTCTCCATACAATTTGATTACCTCTAATAATTTTGGAACACTCTGTGTTGGATTAGATAAAATACAAACCATATCGTCTGCATATGTTCTGATTTTGATTTCCTGGCCTTTTACTTTGAACCCTTCAATTTCATTGTCATCTCTAATTCTTATACTCAAAATTTCCAATCCCAAAATGAATAGTAATGGCGAAAGTGGACAGCCTTGTCTAGTCCCTTTCTGTATATCTATGGCTTTTGTCAGCTGTCCATTTATTTTTATCTTAGCAGATTGCTTAGAATATATTGCCCCCACTGCTTTTCTACTATGAGGCCGCCTGCATGAGCTGGCTCAAAGATTGGATACAATTCTGGAACATAAATCTACTAAATTTAGAAGGACATGGAATCAGATATGGATGGCATTCTTACCTCTGGTATGAAGGAGAGAGATTAAATAAGGCATTCAATAAACATGTAATTAGGGGAAGCTTAATAGATGTTTGGAAAAGATACAAATTAGGGATGGAACCCAAAACACCCCTGTGGCTGAGGCCAATAGAAGCCATTGGGAGACCCATCTGCAAGGATGATGTCAGAACATATGGGGAACTACTTATCAGGTCCAATGGCCAATGGGCACTGAGGGGAAAAGACGAATTGGGTATTAAAGATTGGTTCCGATATCATCAATTATACGAAAGATTCAAAAAAGACGAGAAGAGGGGATTTGCTTCCAAAAAATCAGATCTGGAAACTATATTAGATAAAGGGGAAAAAGGATTAATAGCCAGATTATACAAATATATTCTACACTATAATTTGGAAGATAATCGTGTTAAAACCCCCATGATCTCATGGGCAAAAGATTTAGGGAGAAGCATAGATTTTGACATCTGGGAAAACCTGTGGAACAATGGCTTTAAATTTACAGTGGCAGCTTCAATTAGAGATAATGTATACAAAATGTTCTACAGATGCTACGTAACTCCAGCCCTCCTAGCCAAAATGGACAATTCACAAACAGGATCCTGTTGGAGGTGCAAAAGAAAGAAAGGGACTTTCTTTCACGTATGGTGGTCGTGCGAACTGGTGCAGATCTATTGGAAAAGAATAATAAAGGAAACAAATAAAATGATTTACAACAAAGTAAAAAAGAACCCAGGGATGTGCCTATTAGGGATATTCAGAGACAGTTTAGAACAGCCAGAGAGAGAAATCTGTTTGTACAGCTTTGCGGCTGCACGCATTACAATTGCCAAAAATTGGAAAGGGGAGAAAACATTAAGCATTAAAGATTGGAAGGATAAATTGTGGGATTATGCACAGATGGCTAAGATTTCAAGCAATTTGAAATATGAAAATAATGAAATATTTGAAAGAAACTGGAAGCTGGCCTTAGCATACTTGACGGGAGAGCTAAAGAAATAAAAACAAGAGGAATTTATTGAATTACAAGTATAGAGGGTTAAATAAGTTGTGCATAAATCCTGCGTGGATTAGTGACGGAAGTCAAGGTGGTGGGTAGCACTGGGGTGGGTGGTGGGGTAACTGTATGGAGGGTTGTTTGTGTATGTGTGTTTGTTTGTGTATGTGTACTTTTTTGCAACATATATGGTTGGTGTATTATCTTTTCGAAATAAAATTTAATTAAAACAAAAGGGATATTGTATCTGTATTTTATTCTAACAGTGTCAAACCTATGTAAGTTTTGCTAATGATCTGCTACATAATGTTTTCGGTTGTAGCTCCAGTAATTTGCCACTAAAATATGTGAAGTAATCTTCACTAGTTAGAATCTGAAGTGATGCAGAACATATTCAAACTATATTATTTCCATATTTTATATAATTATCTAGTATAGTTATTTTCATCTTCTTCTTCCCATTTTACTGTTTTTGTTCCCTTTGCTGTTTGGCTTCCTTTTCACCACTGTCTCCCAGAATCTTGATATATGGTTGTAACCATCTTGGTATAGGATGGAAATCTCTTTGAAATAATACATCTATCTGTTTGCATTACTCCATAAATATTGTTGAATATTTGCTGTGAAATAGCAACAAATAGTGAACAGTGTTTTTTTTCTCTTTGCTGCAGGGAAGAATTGATGACTTCCTCCTCCTTTGACAGCCTTGAAGTTCTTCTGGATTCATTTGGGCCAGTTCGGGACTGCTCTAAGGACAATGGTGGCTGCAGCAAAAACTTCCGCTGTATTGCAGATCGAAAATTAGACTCCACTGGCTGTATGGTATGCATACTCTTATTAGTTGCCCCTTGGGGGAGTGGGAGCATAAAGATGAGATTGCCTATCCATGGGGATATCTCTGAACCCCAGCATGTTGACTTGTCTACATGAATTCAAAAACACAGACTCATCCTGAATTGATCGTTGAATGTCCACACAACATGCATCTGCATCCGTTGAATATCAGGTTTTTGTTTTTTAGAACAGTCTCAAGGATCCATCTCACCCAGCATATTCTTCTTTTTAATTATTACCATCTGGCAAATGGTACATAGCGACAAAGACAAGAACAAACAGACTGAGAGATAACTTTTATCCTAGAGCTGTAACTATATTGATGTGGCATTGGATGTGGCATTGGAGACTGTGCAGTGGTTGTTGGAGTGTGGAGGGATGGGTGTGTTTTTTATATGATGTGTGCTAGGGAAAGCATTTAATTTAATTATGCAATGGTGGAATGACAATAAAGCTATTCTATTCTAGTCCGTTTAAATCAACTTTGCTCCACTTTGGGCAAAGTTGAGGGAAACTCCAGAATTTTCTGAAAACTCTGAAGTATCCCATGGCTTCAGGGCAGTCTGGACAGCAGGATCACATCTAGTTCAGTCCAACCTGCTGTCCAGAATGGATGCCAGTATAATCACTATTTACTTGTACTCGTCACTGCAGGGAAGGCAGTGGATTATGTCCATGTCACAACTATCACTGCTTTTAGGAGATCCATCTCAACTCCCAGCTATCATGTCCACTTCTGCTGAAGTCAGTATCTGATCTGAGACCAGGACAAAGCAGGAAATGACATACAAACCCTGCTTTCCTTAGCTGTTTTCCTCTCTGAACTTGCCCTTCCTTAGAATACCACAGAATGACTACACAGCCAAAATAATGTGGACTTGTTGCTCAGCTGCTGTTTTGGGAGTCCACACAGTGGACAGACTGGACTTGTGACATATCCACTACATCTCTAGACATTCATCTGCAACAGTGGAAAATAGGATTTGCTCTGGATTTTCTTCTTGGAAGCTCTGGAGTAATCTTGCAGTTTTGATGTGTGTACAGGTATTGGGCTGCATTTGGTTTGATCTGCTTTCCCTGCTGCCAGTGGACCTACCACTATGGTTTATTGTCACCAGTAAGCATCTCTCTCCCATAGGCTTACTGACAATATCACATATAAGGTAATGTCACGTGGGGCACAGAGCAACATAACCAGAAATGAGATGTTGCTTGCATGTCTTTTTGAAAGGGTTGCTTTCTGGTTCCAATGGTGATGGCAATGATCCTGATGTGTCCTTGGCCCAACTGGATATGTAAACAGCTAAAGGACTCCGGGGATGCTCTCAAGATTGCCTCGGAGAAGCTCCTTAGCCCTTTAAACCAGTTCTTCCTGTAGTCAGTAATAAAACCATAAATAGAGACCACCTTCATAGACCATGATCAGTGAATGGACACCAAGAGGCTGGACAATCTCAGTTGCTACATCAGATGAGACCACTTCTATTATTATTATTATTATTAAACTTTATTTGTACCCCGCTAGCATCTCCCAGAGGGATTCGATGCGGCTTACAACAGGCCAGAGCCCAGCACAACACAATACAACAATACAACAATACAACAATACAAACATAGCAAATAAAACAGTTAAAGCAGAGAACAGTGGCAATAAACAATACAACGAGACATATTAAAAAACTGAGCCGGCTGAAGTGGGGTACAGGGTTAAAAGTGCTGAAAAAAGTGTCGGGGGATATGAGATTAAAGTATAAGTGCGGTGTGCGTTGAGAGTGGTCTTGACTCTACTAAAGTGCTTCTGGGCTTTAATAGTAGGGTTCCTAATCTGAGAAGGCACGTTGGAATAGCCAGGTTTTCAGGTTTTTTCTAAAAACCGCCAAGGTGGGGGCCTGTCTGAGATCTTTCGGGAGGGCATTCCAGAGGCGGGGGGCCACCACAGAGAAGGCCCTGTCCCGCGTCCCCACCAGACGCGCCTGCGAGGCGGGTGACGAGCAGGGCCTCTCCAGATGACCGGAGTGAGCGTGTGGGTTCGTAGATGGAGATGCGGTCACGCAGGTAGGATGGTCCCAAACCGTTCAGGGCTTTGTAGGTAAGCACCTGCACCTTAAATTGGGCTCGGAAAATAAACGGCAGCCAGTGGAGCTCCTTGAACAGGAGGGTTGACCTCTCTCTGTAAGGGGCCCCCGTTAGCATCCTAGCTGCTGCCCGTTGGACCAGTTGGAATTTCCGAGCCGTTTTCAAGGGCAGCCCTACGTAGAGCGCATTGCAGTAGTCCAGTCTAGAGGTGACTAAGGCATGGACCACCCCGGCCAGATCAGCCTTCGCGAGGTACGGGCGCAGCTGGCGCACAAGTCTCAGTTGTGCAAAAGCCCCCCCGGCCACCGCCGACGCCTGAGCCTCAAGCGTAAGCGATGAATCCAGGAGGACTCCCAAGCTGCGGACCTGTGGCTTCAGGGGGAGTGTAACCCCGTCCAACACAGGTTGCCACCCTATACCCCGGTCTGGTTTGCGATCAACCAGGAGGACCTCTGTCTTGTCGGGATTGATCTTCAGCTTGTTCGTCCTCATCCAGATAGACACAGCGGCCAGGCACTCGTCTAGCACCCGAGAGGCCTCCTTGGAATTAGGTGGAAAAGAGTAGTAGAGTTGTGCGTCATCTGCGTAGAGATGGCACCCAACTCCAAAACTCCGGATGACCTCTCCCAGCGGTTTCATGTAGATGTTAAAGAGCATGGGAGACAGAATGGAGCCTTGCGGAACCCCACAGGTCAAAGGCCAGGGGTCTGAGCAGGCGTCTCCCAGCTTCACCATCTGGGTTCGTCCCTCCAGGAAGGACCGGAGCCACGATAGAACCGTGCCCCCAAGGCCCATCCCCGAGAGCCGACCCAGAAGGATACCATGATCGATGGTATCGAAAGCCGCTGAGATGTCCAAGAGGACCAGCAGGGTTACACTCCCCCTGGTCCAGTCCTCTACGGAGGTCATCCACCAAGGCGACCAAGGCTGTCTCGGTGCCATGACCAGGCCTGAAACCAGACTGTGCCCGATCCAGGTAATTGATGTCATCCAGGAAGCTCTGGAGCTGGAGGGCAACCACCCGCTCCAGCACCTTACCCAAGAAAGGGAGGTTGGAAATCGGTCTGTAATTGTTCAGCACCGCAGAGTCAAGGGATGGCTTCTTCAGGAGTGGACGAACCACAGCCTGTTTCAAGCTGGATGGAAAAATCCCTTGCTCCAACGATGCATTGATGATCAACACAAACCAATCAACCAACCCCTCCTTGGCAGATTTAATAAGCCAGGATGGGCAAGGGTCAAGAGCCGAGGTGGTCGCCCTCACCGCCCCAAGGACCTCCCCCACGGTCTCAGGAAGAACAAGCCGAAAAGAATCCCACAAACTAGGACAAGCAGATGCCTCGGTCACCTCTCCTGGCACTGCGATAGAATTGGAGTCAAGCTCAAGACGTATCTGGGCAACCTTGCCTGCAAAGTGGTGTGCGAAATCGCAACACCGAGCTGCTGGGTCGTCAGAGATCTCCTCCACCACAGGTGGGTGAAGGAGCTCCCCAACAACCCGAAACAGCTCTGATGACCTATTTGCTGCAGACGCTATCCGGGCGGTCGTGAAAGATTCCCTGGCCGCCCGTATAGCCACGGAGTATGCCTTAAGAGAGGCCTTAGCCCGTGCTTGATCAGACACGTCCCGAGATTTCCTCCACTTGCGCTCTAGCCCCCTTCTCGTGTGCTTCATCACAACCAACTCCCCGGTAAACCAAGGAGACGGCCTGTCATGACGCAGCGAGATGGGGCGTTCGGGAGCAATCGTATTTATCGCCCTGGTCATCTCCTTGTTGTAAAAATCGACCAAGGCGTCAACAGGATCACCAGGTTCCATGGCAGGAAGAACCCCAAGATTCCTCAGGAAACCATCCGGATCCATCAGTCTCCTGGGGCGGACCATCTTAATTTGTCCTCCACCCCTGCGAAGGTTGGGGGTCGCAGCAAGCCTAAAGCTAACCAGATAATGATCAGACCATGACACTGGAAGGATGTTTTGTTCTTCCACTCTGATCATTCCACTGTCCGCTACAAAGACTAGGTCAAGAGTGTGTCCAGCCTGATGGGTGGGTCCTGATATAATTTGTGACAGTCCCATGGTCGTCATGGCGGCCATAAAGTCCTGAGCTGCGCCTGATAAGGAAGTCTCAGCATGAATGTTAAAATCTCCCAACACCACCAAGTGCTGGGAGATCAGGGCCTATGCACTTGTCAAAATGGGAGTCTCTCTGTGCTTATTAAGAGAGCCTGTGCTTATTAAGAGAGCCTTTCATTTTCCTGAGATTGGTAGGGAGACTTGTGGGTTGAATTGTATTAGTGAGATTTCCATGCAGACCTGTCCCTGGTTTTCCTGTTATGTTTACGGGATTAACAAACAACTCTCTTCTTTTTCTTCCCTTCTGTTTTTGTGCATCTGCAAGACCCTATGGCTCAGATATCCACACTCAGTACCTAGTGAGAGATGTTTTCTTCTTATACCTCTGCCTCCCCCATTTCATTTACCCATAGTGTGCCTTCCCCCACATACCTTTCCACAAAGCCTCCCATGAGAGATAGGTGGAAAGCAATCCATCTGCTTTAAACTGTGGCTGTGAAACTGTATCACTTGTTTTATTGCTGACAATCTTCCTTTACACTTGTTCTTTGCAGAGAGAGAGAAATCTTGGCAAAGACAAGGTGTGAGGAGCAGGCAGAGGATTAGCTTGTGGAGAACTTTCTAGACAGAGGCTTCTGAAATGGCTGCTGACAGCAGGAGGGATGGGTATATTAAATAGCATCAGCATTAAAAGTGAGAAAGTTAACCTATATCTGTGGCAACACAAGCTTGGAACATCTTTAAAACTATGTGTACAAAACCAAAAGTTAAAAAGAAATAATTCACACATGCAAAGTAAACATGCAAGATACTTAAAGTTACAGTCTCAACCTGT